AATACTATGCCAAAAGCAGTTTATTCTCCAGTGGGCTCCTCAGATTGTCATTGTTTTGCTCTGTAAGAAGAATTAGATTCAGTTATCTCAAAGTTCCTGAGAAGGGCCTGGAGATAACATTGGCACTACACTGCTTTGACATGGATAGAAATAACTAGGGTTTTGGTAAGAACAATTAATTTGAAATAAACAAGTTTTCAGAAAAAAAAAATAGTAGTCATAGTTTAAAACTGAAGAAACTGTTTGTAGTGACTCTCTTAAAAACAAAGAAATGAGTTCCGGTCAAGTTGGCAGAATAGATGGTCTGCAGCGTCACTCTCTCCCATAAATCAACCAATTTATGACTATAAAAATGTAACATCAGCCAAGCTGGGGTTGCTGGGGCTCAGAAGAAGAGGAGGAGAGACCTATGAAGTGCATGAAGATGGGAGAAACCATGATGAGAGAAAGAAAAAACTGCTCTGAGCGTTTCAGGCCTCAGCTGCTTTAAGGCTGGAGCTGCTGAGTGCATGGAACAGTAGCTGGCAGAAGCCATAGCTGTGCCCTTCAGATGAAGTTACTTGAAGGTGGCAAGAGAGAAAAGGGCCTGGGTGGCCCCCAGGACAGCAAGACCACTAACAGGGTTCCCATGGACCCACGCAGGAGCGAGGAGCCAGAACAGCTGAAAAAGGGGAGCCATTCAGAGGCTGGTGAGTCACCACAAGGGACCAGGGCAGGGTCCGCCCCATGGGAGGTGTTTGGAGCATGGGTGGTAAGAGAGACAAGCCCACCAGGAGAACACTGGGACACAGCAAGGACAGCTGGTCCTACCCCCCAATTAGCACAGGACCACTCAGAGGAGACTGGTCGGGAATGCAGAATTGCATGGGACAATATATATGCTAGTAAAATTGATTTGATCGACACGTTTCAATGTTGAACCCCCAAAATTTGTATAATCAATTTTGATTCAATAAAAATAAAAAATAAAAAATAAAAAATGGACAAACAAAAAACAAAGAAAAGAATAAACCAATATACAAGTCCCTTTTTTGGGAACTAACTGAATGCTTTAGGTGAGGGCTCTGAAGATTGGCTCTCAGTAGTGTGGGGGTCAGAAAACTTTAAGGTCTTTAATGTCCAGTGTCTTTTTTTTTTAGCATATCAGGTTACTGTAGGGTAAAATGAATACTATGCAGCTATAGAGTCAAGTGAAAAAAATGGTAATACTCAGTAGCCCTCAACTGTCCTTGATAACAGTTTGCAATGTAATGTGAAACAGTCTACATATTTTCTCTTCATTTAAGCTAAGCATTTTAATTGCAACAAGAATTTCACTTCCAAGGTTATTCACTCAAAACTCAGACCTACAAATATTTTTCCAACATATTTCTCCCTTTGAACATTCCTGCAAAGACACCTAGTGAGAACTGTAGTCCAGACACATCTCGTGAAGTATTGCTAAGGTCAGAAGATCTCAGCATAACATCATGCACAGTATACTTCTCCCTTTGAACATTCCTGCAAAGACACCTAGTGAGAACTGTAATCCAGACACATCTCGTGAAGTATTGCTAAGGTCAGAAGATCTCAGCATAACATCATGCACAGACAGAGAGCAGAAAAACTGCAATAAAAATGCAAAACTAGAAGGTCAGCTTGTTTTAGCACATTAAGACTTTCGATTCCCCTAACTAAATGTGTTGCCTCTAATTTATTGCTCTCAATTACTAAACCAGTTGCCTGACGCTTGTAGACATCAAGGTCAGTTTGAGGACAGTTTGAGGTCTTAGAGGGAATAGTTACTAGGTACACTTTGTTGCCTAAGTGATGACTTGTTAATTCAGATACTAGTCACCCATGATTTCTTCTGTGCCTACTTTACCTTATTGATATTAACGACAAAACAAAAAAGACAGAAAAATAGAAAACAAACCACAATAAAACAAAACTCTGGTGAACACTATACCTCTAATTATGTATTTATTTCCAAACACTAAAAGGTAAACTCCATGAACAGAAAATTTTGTCTGTTTTCCCAGTGCCTCCAGATTTGTGGGCATTCCCTAAGTATTTCTTCGAAGACTGTCTAAGGTGAACTCAGCTTTCTACCTAAAAACTCTCTACCAACAGACTTCCCTCTTGTAATCTGTGTTATCACCTTTATCCAATCACGTGGACGTGAAATTTTAAAGGTGATGTTTTGCCCCTCTTCTGCC